AGATTCTATCTGAACATAAAAAGAGATGAGTGATGTAACTTCATGGTAAACCACATAGCACCCTTAGGTTCAATCTAGAGTACCACCAAATAAGAATACAAAAGGAGCAGTGAAACACTGAAACATTATTTCTGCAAATGATACAACTATTTATCTGATAATCAAAAAGGATTCCTTGAAGAAAATAACAAAAATTAGGTACTATATAAATTATGCACAAAATAGATACAAAAAAATAAGTGACATCTGAATATGCAATTGAAACTAGTTATAAACTAGAATGGAAAAAGGTGCTCTTTAACAAGAAGAACAAATATAAAAAGCCCAGAAATTACCTAACTAACAAATGTATAACTGCATAAAAAGGTACAACAACCAAGCAAATATCATGCCACATGCATGTAATCCTGGCACTCAAGAGGCTAAGGAAGGAGGGTTACTGGGCGCTCAAGGCTAGCCTGGGCTACACAGTGAATTCAAGGCCAGCCTGAACTACCATACATAGTGAGGTCCTGTCAGAAAAGACAAGAAAACAAAAACAAAACAAAGAAAAGAAAAGGAAAGAAAAAAGAAAAATCAGACAAAGCATGCAAGTGAGCAAGCAGGCATGGAAAGTAAGACACAAAAGTACATATGAATATTACTACCTACTGAACCCAGATTTTAAAATTTAATTATAAAATGTTTAGTTACTTCTATTTTTAATATGAAAATAAAAAAAACTCCAAAAGAGCCATTTTATTTTGTAATTTCTTTTCCCCTCCAGATGCTATCCAGAAGGGCTTTTTTCCCCACTAGAAATGAAAAAAGGCATGCAATATTTAAATTAAGTGATGCATAGGAATGAGGCCTAGACATATCAGTTATCAAAACATTGTTTTAACTTCTATTTTATATACTTTTTTTTTCTTTTGGTGAAACCGTGGCTTGAACTCAGGTCCTTGCGCTTGCCAGGCAAGCACTGATTCTACTGAGCTATCTTCCTGGCCCCCTTAACTTCTATTTTCTTTTCTTTTTTTTTTTTTTTTTTTTTTTTTTTTTTTTTTGCGGAACCGGGGATTGAACTCAGGCCCTTGCGCTTGCCAGGGAAGCGCTTATTCCACTGAGCCATCTCCCCGGCCCCTTCTATTTTCTTTAGTCATTTACTTTTTTATTTGGTACAGGGTCTCACTACACAGCTCAGACTCATAGTGATCCTCCTGTCTCAGCCTCCCCAGCACAGGGGTTACAGGCATGTCTCACCACACCCCAGTTTCAGTGGCCAGCTCAGCACAGGGCCAGCATGCTATGCAGTACCAGGTATCAAACCCGAACCTGGGACCTTGCACTTGCCAGGCACATGCTTAGACCACCAAGCTATCTCCTTGACCTATCAAAACATTTTATAAAGGTACAATGTCAAAATAAATTTAATTATAATGCAAAAAGAGATGGACAATTAGGCAGGACAAAATAATAGTCAAGATACAAATTCAAACACTATTAGAACTTGGCCTAATATAAAGTTTACATTTAAAACCACTAAGACAAAGTTAAATAACTAAGCATATGGCACTAAGACACATGTTTAACCATCTGAAAAAATGTTTCCCTGTATAACTCTGTTCAACATCCAAAATTCTGAGGAACTAAGTACTCAAATTTGACAACATAACCATAAATGAGGGAAACATGAGGTTTAAAATAAGGTATGTTAGAGTGGAGAACATGATTTATAAACTAAACAACAAAACATGCTATCCAAGCAGAAACTGATAAATTTACAAGCCTAAACTTCAAAGTAGAACACCCTACACACACACACACACACACACACACACACACACACACAGATAACAAAACCAAGGTCTGAGGAGTAAGGTTAGTATCCCTTATCTCTAAATGTTTTACAAAGCAATCAGAAAAATACTAATCACCCAAAAGATACTATATTTGATCTTAGCCAAAAGGCTGAGAGGCAATAATCAACTAAAAGAAAATGACATTAAAAAACATTTCACAAAAGAAAGAATTAAAAAAGAATTTAAAACATGTAGCATAAAAATCCAAATTACATACAGTATAAAAATGCAATTAAAAGTGTAAATATTTTCCACTAAACACATGAACAAAAATCAGTTAAAAATGATTTTGGCAAATTATTGGGAAATGAACACTCTACTACTTTCTTGAAAGGAATGTAAATTAGTAAATTATCTGAAGAAAAGAAATGTGACCTATTAAAGAATGTACAAATGTACTAACTCAGCAAATCCACTTCAGGGATATAACTTTAATACCTATTGGCATATAGATACTAAATAATATATACAAAGATCATTTTATTTTTATTTCAAAGGAAAAAGATTTACATACCTCAATAAGTGACTGATTCAGTTAACTGTACTATAAGCCTACAAGATAACATTGTAGATGAGATATCCAAGGAAGACTGCTCTTTACTTCTTTCTTTTATTTATACATTTTGTTTTCTATACTGAGATGCCCTTAAGGGAACCACATTTTTGAAGAATTTGTAAAATTCTGCTAATCATTAAAAGTCAAAATATTACCCAACTATCTCTCAACAGTTAATGTAAAATGTCATAACAATTTTTCCATTCTGCTTAACTCTAATAATTTATTATTTACTTTTCATATTTTAAAATCATCTTAAAATAGATTTCATCACTGATTTTAGCTTCCTAGAGACACTTCTATTAGATACTATTACTTGATTCCACAAATTATCAAAGGTGAAATTTTATTTTATTTTATTTTTTTTAAAAGGTGAAATTTTAAAACAAAATGATTTACATTGTGATGTTTTCTTAATCAAGTTATTCAGAAGTGTGATTTAAAAGTACAATTTCAAATATATGGAAAGGCTTTTAGTAATACTCAAGATATTTAGTATAATTTGACTAATTTCTTTAGACTTATTGTTTAAAATAGGACAATTTCTTCTACATAATAAAACTTCAAAAACCTGAGTTAATCACTATCAGATTTTTAAAAAGTGGTACTGGGGATTGAACACAGGTCTTTTGCATTGAGCTACATGTCATCCATTTTTTTTTAAAGTCAGGATTTCATTAAATTGCTAAACTGAACAGGCTAGACTTGAACTTGTAATCTTTCTGCATGAGCCTCCCAGAGTGATGGGATTACATGACACTATGTCAAACTTTAAGAGTACTTATTCAAAAGTTCTTTGTTAGGTGGGTGGGATGATGCATGCCTGTAATTCCAGCATTTGAGAGGCTGAGGCAGGAGGATTGCCCAAATTCAAGGTCATCTTGGGCTACAAACTTAGTTCAAGGCCAACCTGAACTGCATAGTGAAGCCCTGTGTCAAAAAGACACTCTATGAAAAAAAGTTCCTTTTTAAAAAAATCTATACTTGACAAAGATGTGGAAAAATCCAACTGTGCATATCTGTATTTTCGGTTTGCACTTCTATCAACCTTAGCTTTGTATTTACGGAGGTAATGTTATTAGTTACATACATAGAGATTACTCATAGTCAGATCCTGCTAAAGAAATGAAATTGGATATTAAGATAGGTTTCTACTTTTTTGTTGGTAAATGTATATTTTCTTTGTGTGTTTGTTTTTCATCTTTGAAATCCTTTCAAGGGAGGTTTCCTTGGTTCAAGAGATGCTTTTGTACTGTACATGAATTTCAATCCTTTTAAAGCATTCTTACATGTGGCTTAAAAACAGCATAGTATTTCATTTAAATGAGAAAAAATTTCAACTACAGTATAACAATCACTTGATTCACACTTTTAATATTTCTCTTAGTTTATGTCTACCATCCTGCTATCTAATTTCCTGTTTTGTTTTGTTTTGTTTTGTTTTTTTGTATGAAAAATTGAACTCAGGATCTCATGCTCACCAGGCAGGTCAGGTGCTGTACTACTGAGCTACATCCCTGGTCCATAATTTCCTTTTAACTTGCCTATTCTATAGTCATTTTCTGGATTGCCTTCAAATTCTGATTGATCATTGATAATTTTTTAGAGTAAGCTTCACAAAAGAATCAAGAAAATCATAGACATTTTATGATGTTATCATTGCCCATATTTTGGTTATTTGACTTAATCAAAAGAAATGACAAAACTGACTAAAACTGGCAGTAGTAATCAGTTACTTGAATTTCTTCAAACATTCTATGATAAACATTAACGTATCCTCTTTTTTTTTTTCCTTAACTTTGATAGTACTGAGAATTGAAGCCAGGGCTTTCATTCTGAGATACATTCTCAGTCCTATTTTATTTTTTTTTATTTTGAGACAAGATCTCAATAAGTTGCTAAATTGCCCAGCAAGGCTTGAACTTCTGAACCTCCTGGCTCAGCAAAACTGCTAAAAAAGATTCACATTATAGGTAAAAGTTTTTCTACATTCAGAAAGTCTAAGTTGTTCCCTTCTACATGTCATTCTCTATATTTATACTATAATCAAATGTAACTAGTGGATATAGAATTTAATATTTCATTTTTAATCTTTCCTGTATAAATTCTGATAATAAGTTCAGATTTATGATGCCAAAGAAATTTATAGTCACTGGATTTTGCACCTCTTACATATTATTTTCTGTTATAGAATGTGTAGCTGAAAACTCTTCCAATGTGAATCATATAAATTATATACTACTGACTAAAGGATAAGAGCAGGTCTTTACATATACCTCACTTTTATAAGGCTTTTTCAATATATACTCTGGTATACAGAAGAATAGCTGTAGAAGCTGGGCATAGTAGTACATATCTATAATACCAGCACTCTGAGAACCTGAGGCAGAAGGATCATAATTCAAGCCCATCCTGAAAATTAGTGCTTTACTAAGATCATAAATCAAAAACAACCCTAAGTACCAGGGGAAAAAAATAGCACAGGGGTACATAAAATCATTTCCCACATTTCTGATATTTCTAACATTTCTTTCCAATACATATTTGGTAATAAGTAATAACTATTAAATAAAGACAATATTCAAATACATAGAATTTCTCACCTCATGTGTGTATTTTCTGGTGCTTTTTTGCCTGTGAAAGACAAGTAAAGGCCTTTCCACATTCTTTACACTCATACGGTTTCTCACCAGTGTGAATTCTTTGATGTTGAGTAAGATGTGCCCTCTGCCTAAAAGCCTTATTACATTCCTGACATACAAAGGGTTTCTCTCCAGTATGAATTCTCTGGTGTTGAATAAGAGTGGAACAATCAATAAAGGACTTTTTACATTCTTTACATTCATACGGTTTCTCACCTGTGTGAATTCTCTGATGTCTACTAAAATAGGAAACACAAGAAAAGGCCTTTCCACATTCCTTACATTTGTATGGTTTCTCACCAGTATGAATTCTTTCATGTTGAATAAGATGTGCTCTCTGTCTAAAGGCCTTCCCACATTCCTGACATTCATAGGGTTTCTCATTAGTATGAGTCCTCTGGTGCTGAACAAAGGTTGAATAACAGAGAAAAGCCTTCTCGCAATCTTTACATTCATAGGGTTTTTCACCAGTGTGAATTTTCTGATGTTTATTCAGGTTTGAAAGCCAAGTAAAAGACTTTCCACATTCCTTACATTCATAGGGCTTCACACCAGTATGAATTCTCTGATGCTGATTAAGAGTTGAGCAATTATTAAAGACCTTCCCACATACTTGACACTCATAGGGTTTCTCACCTCTGTGAATTCTCTGATGTCTATTACAATCAGAAAAACAAGTAAAAGTCTTCCCACAGTCATAGCATTCATAGGGTTTCTCACCAGTGTGAGTTCTCTGATGTCTAGTTAGATGTGCACTTTGCCTAAATGTCTTTTTACATACCGGACATTCATAGGGCTTCTCATTAGTATGTGTTCTTTGATGCTGAAAAAATGTTGAACCAGATATAAATGCTTTTCCACACTGGTCACACTGATATGGTTTCTCACCAGTGTGAATTCTTTGGTGTCGAATGAGAGTTGAGCAATTATTAAAAGCTTTCCCACATTCTTTACATTCATAGGGTTTCTCACCAGTGTGAACTCGTTGGTGTCTGTTAAAGTCAGAAATACAAGTGAAGCCCTTCCCACATATAGCACATTCATATGGTTTCTCACCACTATGAATTTTTAGATGTCTACTTAGATGTGCACTTTGCCTGAAAGTCTTTTTACATTCCTGACACTCATAGGGTTTCTCATTTGTATGGGTTCTCTGATGTTGAGTAAGGGTTGAACAATTATTAAATGCCTTGCCACATTCCTTACATTCAAAGGGTCTTTCCCCTGTGTGAATTCTCTGATGTTGAGTAAGTGTTGAACGACTATTAAATGCTTTCCCACATTCTGCACATTCATAAGGTTTTTCACCAGTGTGAATTTTCTGATGTCTATTGAAGTCAGAAAGAGAAGCAAAGGCCTTCCAGCATTGTGTGCATTTATAGGGTTTCTGATCGGTATGAATTCTTTGATGTCGAGTAAGGTGTGCACTTCGTCTAAAACTCTTACCACATTCCTGACATTCAAAGGGTTTCACACTAGAGTGAGTTCTCCTGTGTTGAATAAGTGTTGAACAGCAGATAAAAGCTTTCCCACATTCTTTGCATTCATATGGTTTTTCACCAGTGTGGATTCTATTATGTTGAGTAAGGAGGGCACGTTTTCTAAAGCTCTTTCCACATATCTGACATTCGTAGGGTTTGTTATAATTTATTTGATATTGAGTAAGTTGAAAGTCATATGCAAATTCTCTGCCACACTCCTTAAATTCATCACATTTCTTTGCAGGAAGACTTTGCTGATGTTCCATCTTATTTGTGTAAAATATGAAGGCCTTCTCACACATTTCATCAAGTTTGTCACTAGTATGAATTCCTATCTGTTGAGTGAGGTTTTCATAATTTTTCTGTTCATAGCGTTCATTTCCAGTCTGAATTACTTCATTTGGAACCAGTGATATAGGCTGAATTATTTCATTTTGAACCAGTGGTATAGGCTGAATTATTTCATTTGGAACAAGTGATGGAGGCTGAATGAATTCAATTGATAGTTTTTCAAATGGCACTGTCATGTATTGGAAACATTCCTCTTTAGATTCTTCTTCTTTTTCAAAATGTCTGTTACATTTCAAATCAGTTCCAAAATAAGACTCTCCATCAAGACAAGAACTTGTGGTTCTGTTCATTAATTCCCATTTTAATGATCCCATTTCCAAAATACCATTCTTTAGAGTCAACTCTTTAGTTTCATACCAAGACAGCAAATCTGAAAGAAAATAAATATATTTTTCTGTTTTAGGAGTAATTAAATGTGTACATTAGAAACAAGCAGAAAAACAGTACTATTAAAAAGCAAACTGCTTAAAGAACTTTCAAATATTGTTATTTACTTTGTGAAAAACAGAATGGTTATACTAATACCAAACAGACTTTAAAGTAACCTATATTATAAAAAATAATTTTATCAGAAGGATAAAAGCATCAATTCACCTGGAAGACTTAGAAATCAGAAATGCTTATATACATAATAAGAAATACATGCTGGGGCTGGAGAGATGGCTCAGTGGTCTAAAGCACCTACTTGGAACAAGCTTGGCAAAGCATCAGGGGACCGCGGTTCGATCCCCCAGCACCACATGCCAGCCAGCCCCGCCCCCTGGTGGACTGAGCTGGCCACACACACACACCACACTCACTCTCTCTCTCTCTCTCTCTCTCTCTCTCCCCTCTCTCTCTCTCTAATAAATAAATAAATAAAATTAAAAAAAAAAAAGAAATACATGCAACAGTAATTTAATTCAGTAACACAAAACAACCAAACCTTCCCACATTAAAGAAAATCAGTAAATAGAGAAAAACTTAAGTAATAATGTCCACTAGCTACAACTAGTTACTATTTATAAAACACAATATAAAAAACTGCAAAATATACATTCTGTTCAAAAGTAAATACCTTCAAAATAAGCTGCATGGGGGGCCAGTAAACTTAATATTAATAGTAAACTCTTAATATAACAACAAATGTCAAAAATCATAATACTTAAATCTTTGACCACAATGAAACTAAATTTGAAATTTTTTTTTTTTTTTTTAAAACTGGGGCCGGGGAGATGGCTCATTGGAATAAGCGCTTCCCTGGCAAGTGCAAGGGCCTGAGTTCAATCCCCGGTTCCTCAAAAAAAAAAAAAAAAAAAAAAAAAAAAAAAAAAACCACCTAGTAAAAGCTCCTTATATGTGAAAATGAACTAAACCTTGAGGAAATTTGAAAAGATTTAGAAATGAACTACAATGTAACTATAGCATATAAAAATATATGCAGAGCCGGGGAGATAGCTTAGTAGAATAAGCGCTTGCCTGGCAAGCTCAAGGTCCAGAGTTCAATCCCTGGTACTGCAAAAAAATAAAAATAAAAATAAATAAAAAATAAAAGTATGTGCAATTAGGTAAAAGAATTGTCCTAATTGTACTTTTAAATGCTTCTGGGGGGGGGGGGAAGACGTAGGGTTCTACTAAAAAATTACAGAAAAAAGAGCAAAATAAACTGGAGCAAAGAAGTCATAAAAATCGATAAATTGATATGTAGTAATTAACAGAGCCAAAGGCTATTTCATTGAAAAAGATCAGAAAATTTGATACTTTTTAGCCAAACAGTCCACATACACATATAATACAAAAAGAATATCAGGAATAAAAGTATTTGTAAATCCTATATAATTAATAAAAATGTTTAAGTAAATAATTATTACTAAATACTTAAATAAGAAAATACAATGGGGGAAAAACCCATGCAGGCCCCCATTCTATCCTTCTCTAGGACAGTAGCTTTCTTTCCCCCAATAAATATATACTGCTTTAAAAAAGAAAATACTATGAAGCCAAATATGGTGGCACATGCCCATAATTCCATTACTTAAGAAGCCGAGATAGGAGGATCTCCACAAGTTTAAGGCCATCCTGGGCTACATGGTGAGTTCAAGGCCACCCTAAAGTACATAATGAGACCCTGTCTGAGAAGAAAGAAAGAAAGGAAATAGTATGACCTATTTCACAACTATATGTATAATTACATATAAATAAATTATATATAAATAAGTTAGATTTAAAAGATTACTTTTTTTTTTTTGGCAGAACCAGGAACTCAGGCCCTTGTGCTTGCCAGGGAAGTGCTTATTCTACTGAGCCATCTCCCCAGCCCAAGATTACATTTCTTAATAAACACAAACTATCAAAGATCACTCAAGAAGAAATATTCACAAGAGTAGCTATCCCAGAAATTGAATTTATAAAAATAAATAAATTTTTAAAAACCAGCCTAAAGATAAAAGTGGCAGAAGTGGCTTTGCTGGTAAATTCTACTAAATAAGGAAAAAATATCTTTCAAATATAGAAATGGCTCCTAACTCACTACAGGATGCCAACATAACACTACTAGTAACCCTAGAAAAAGACAATGGAAATCTATAGATTTTCCTCTAAAATCCTTTCACATACTAAGCGATACAATCCAGTATTATATACAAAAAACATACTAGATGATCCACTAGAATTTACCCCAGAATATGAGTTATGTTACAATTTAAAAAGCAATCACCACGGGGCTGGAGAGATGGCTCAGTGGTCTAAAGCACCTACTTGGAACAAGCTTGGGGACCGCGGTTCAATCCCCCAGCACCACATGCCAGCCAGCCCTGCCCCCAGGTGGGCTGGGCTGGCCACACACACACAATAAATAAATGTAAAATAAATAAAAATATCTTTAAAAAAAAAAAAAGCAATCACCACAATTCAAAATATTAACATTTTAAAAAGGAAAATCACATAATCACTTGGAAAAAGGCAAAATATACTCTTAACAAAATTCAACAGCTGGGCTGGGGAGATAGCTCAGTAGAATAAGCACTTCCCTGACAAGTGCAAGGACCTGAGTTCAATCCCAGGTTCAGAATTTTTTTTTTTTTTTTTTTTTTTTTTTTTTTGGTGGAACTAGGGACTGAACTCAGGTCCTTGCACTTGCCAGGGAAGCACTTATTCTACTGAGCTATCTCCCCAGCCCAGTCATAAAAATTCTTAACAACCGAAAAATATAAGGGAACTTTGTTTTTCAAGTAAATGACATCAGTTAAAAATTTGTAAGAAACATCACATTCTACTGAAATACTGCCAGACATGGAGACCCATGCTTGTAACCTCACCACTCTAGGAGGCTGGTTAATACAATCAAGCCCAGCTTGGGCAACTTAGTGACTTAGAAAAACCTGACTCAAAATTAAAATATATCTAGTGGTACTAATCAGGGTCAAGACCCCGGGGTTTAACATAAAATATTAAAGGCTTTCTACTTTATGTCAGAAGCAGTAAGTGATCAACACATTATCTTCATTATGGTGCTGACTTCATAAGAATAGATTTATATCAAAATTGTCAAATGGTACACTTTAATGCATCTACTTAATTATGTGTCAATTGAACTTCAAAATATCTGCTAAAAAAAAATTCTTCACTAGTCATGGTTCCACATGCCAGTAATCCCAGTACTTTGGAGGCTAAGGCAAGAGGATGCCAAGTTCACAGTCAATCTATTTCACATAGCAAATTCAAAGCTGATCTGGACTATATGTGGGAATGCTATCTCAGAGAGAAAAAAATTGTTTGCATTAAAAATACTGATACTCTCCCATTTCTCAAACTATTTCTTCTAAGACTTTGGCTTTTGAGTACAGCTTTTCATGCAATATTTCAAAGGAAAGACAATAGGAGTCTAACTAGTTTATAGTTCCCTGAAATACATTCTGATTTTTCCCCACCCAGTTATTCACCTGGATATGATCCTGTTTTTCCAGCCATCCAAGGTTCCTTCCCTTGTTCCAATAGGAAAATTACAGATGGCTTAGAAATAGCAAGTCCTGTTCAAAGAAATAAGATTAAAAATCCATATATAAGTGAAAAAAACCTATTGATTTGGAATCAGTTTAACCTAAAACAAATGGAAGATCCTCAGAAAGAAGATGCAAAGAAAAATCAGCACTTAACAATCCTGTTATATGCAGAAATTACAAATGAAAACTAAAACAGGGAGATTATCATAAGAAATAATACGTGTATAAAATATCAAAGTACTTCACAACAAACTACTTACTACGAAGGTAAAAGTAGTGGCTTCACAATGCAAAACTTTAGATTATTTCAACCAACTGATCAAAGTTATCATTATCAGTGAAAAGACATATAGAATTCTTTATCTCTTGATATAAGGACTAAAAAAAAGCATATTATCATTTCTGTGGTCATCACGCCCAAAATATATAACCTTAATGTAATCATTAAAATACCTTAAAAAGACACAATTCAAAGTGTCAAGGTCAGGAGTACCAAAGCAAATTTCCAAGATTAGAAGCCTACTAATATGCCAAGTAATTATAGTGTGCAATGCTGGATCAGTACAAGTACAGTACAGGGTAATCACTAACATCTAAAATAAAGCATATGAATAATTACATAAAATTTGATCAGTGTTCATTTTCTGGTTTACATAATTATACAATGCTCATATAAATTGTTTGTTTTTTGTTTTTGTGTGTGTGGAACCACACAAAAATTGAACTCAGGCCCTTGTGCTTGCCAGGGAAGCGCTAATTCCATTGAGCCATCTCCCCGGCCCCCTATAAACTGTTAACACTCTGAAAACCTGGCTGCATGCTGTTCAGTCTTAATACTTAATGTCGTTTCAAAATAAAAGTTTTTTGTTGTTTGTTTGTTTTTTTTTAAACTGGGATTCAGAGAGCCAAGCATGGTTGTGCAATGCTGTAATCTCAGCACTCAGGAGGCTGAGATAGGAGGACTTCTGTGAGTTTTGAAGCCAGCCTGGGCCATAGAGTTCAAGGAACTCAAGCTGTAACTATATAGTGAGAACCTATCAAGAGAGAGAGAGAGAGAGAGAGAGAGAGAGAGAGAGAGAGAGAGGAAGAAAGGAAGGAAGGAAGGAAGGAAGGAAGGAAGGAAAAGACAAGACCCCACCTCAAATGGGATCCAGATAAACTTTTAGATAAGAGGTGAATAAAGCAATGGGAATATGGCCTTATTAATCTAGCATCAGCAGCACAAGGAACAGTTAGCCCTCTCTTCCAAGAAAAAATGAGGAGAGGAAGGATTAAAGTTTAAATACACATAAGGCTTCACCTCAAGTTCGTTTTTTTTGGGTTTCTTTATTTAAATATCAAGAATCATACTCAGGACCTTGTACTTGTCAGGCACATGCTTGTGCCACTGAGCTATATGGCTGTTTCTAACTCTAGTTATATTGGAAAGAAAAATAAAAGGTTTAAGACATAATCAATGTTTCTTCCTATGAAATTCTCTCAACATTAAATACAAAATCTCTAAAATTAAAAAAATACAAAACTTCTGAATTATATCTTTTGAAAACAAAAATACCAGAAGAGGTTTCTTAAATTTTAGATGAATCATTATATCCTAAATCTTACAGGTTGTTTTGTATGTATGTCCTTTATGTCCCTGTTACTGAATGACGGTCCTAGAGGATTTCATTCCGGGTCTTGGTGTCCTGAACCAAGAATTAAGCAAGAGTGTAGACTTTTTTTTTTTTGGTACAGGGTCTCCCTACTCAGTTGAGATTTGTAGTGATCCTCCTGCCTCAACTTACCCAGTGCTGGGATTACAGGCACGTACCACCACACCTGGTTTTGGGGGCCGGCACAACTTGTAGTACCGGAGATCAAACTCAGGAGCTTGCACTTGCCAGGCAGGCACTTAGACTGTAGAGCTATCTCCCCAGCCCCTAGAGTATAGCCTTATACTAGAAGTATACTCTACAGAACAAGAGTGGGATGGTAAAGAAGGCTCACAACAGCCTGAGAATAAAGGGAAAGGAGTCTTTAGTATCCAAAATACCTGGATTGGCTCCCACCTCATATAAATACAGCATTGGGACAATTGTCACATGGGGAAAAAATGAATGATTTGGAACAGTGCCTTTTGATTAGTTATACCCACATGCAAAGGAAGGGTTAGTAATAGCATCTTGTAACTGGTCCCATGAACAACACTGAATTCAGATGAAGGATTAGGAATAGCACCTTTTGTTTTGTCTCGTGAACTATACTCAGGAGAAGCCAGAAGCCTAGAATCATTTTTGACCTCACATTCTACTCATGCCTTCTCTTTTTAAACAATATCTTGCTCAACTCATTAGCTATGGATTTTGTGGACACATTTGGCCTATTTTGTTGTCCAGTTTGCCCCAGCCCTAATCTCCTTCTTACCTCCACCATAATCTAGCTCCTTAACAGTCAGGAAGGAAAGTCAATTAAAGAAAGCACAGGGGCACTGTGAAGGTGAAGGAAGAATAGCAAAGGGTCTGACAGTGGCATGCTATTACACCAAAAACAGTTCAAACTAACCTTTTGGAACAAAGAACAGAAATTTGTCTAGAAACATGACCTGAAAATATAGTAAATGTTTAAATTTTAAAAAAATATTATTACAGTAAAAGACATTGGTATTAATCTTCCTCAAAATATTCCCCCTTCATCAAATACGTGTGAGAATTCCCAACAGAGACAACATTTTTTGAATTACAGGGAATAGATGAACTTACCCAGTGATATGAAGGTGTTATAGTTCTCCAACATCACATCTCTGTATAAGTTTCTCTGAGAAGGGTCCAACCCTTCCCACTCTTCTTCAGAAAATTCTATAGCCACATCCTCAAACATCACTAATCCCTGAAAAGAAAATCCCATGCAACAAACGTATCAGTAAAGAAAATATATTTCACATGAAGGATAAGAATATTTTAAAAGGCTTTCCTGGAAGGCACTGTATTCTATAGTAAGCAACAGGGTAAAACTAGCACCTTACAAGACAATAGGAAAACATATAAATTACTAAACACATATTGTTGAACAATCCTATGTTGTGGAGTAGATAAAAGCTGTAGGGGCTGGGGAGATGGCTCAGTAGAATAAGCGCTTGCCTGGCAAGCACAAGGGTCTGAGTTCAATCCCTAGTCCCGCAAAAAAAAAAAAAAAAAAAAAAAAAAAACCTGTAACCTTGGGGAAACTTCTATTATTAAACTCACTGGGAAGCAATGTAAATTAGAAAGGAACAGCTCTCTTATTATGTTGAACACACGGTCTTTGCACAGTAAAGAGCTAACTCAGCAAGCGTGGAGCTGTAAGCTAACTCCCTGAACATTCCACAGAAAGAACTGGTTTTTCAGCAACTTTGGAGAAATAATCTGAAGTCTTGAATACTTTGCCTAATGAGTGTTTTTGTGTGTTAGACCTTACGGTATACCAGCATGACTTCTAGGGAGGTGGAGATAGAACAGCTAAGGTCAGCAGTGGGCATTGTATGTACCCCTAATAAAAACCTGGACATAGCCAGGCATGGTGGCACATGTTTCTAACTCTAGTTATATTGGAAAGAAAAATAAAAGGTTCAAGACATAACCAATGTTTCTTCCTATGAAATTCTCTCAACATTAAATACAAAATCTCTAAAATAAAAAAATACAAAACTTCTGAATTATATTTTTCAAAAATAAAAATACTAGAAAAGGTTTCTTAAATTTTAGATTAATCATTATATCCTAAATCTTACAGGTGATTTTTGTATGTCCCTGTTACTGAATGAGGGTCCTAGAGGATTTCATTCCAGGTCTTGGTGTGCTGAACAAAGAATTAAGCAAGAGTGTAGACTTTTTTTTTTTTTTTTGGGGGGGGAGGGAGTACAGGGTCTCTGGGAGGCTGAGTCAGGAGAACTGCCAAATTTGAGCCTACCCTGGCCAATTTAGCAAGACCTTGCCTTAAAATGAAAAAATAAAAAATGGGCCAAGGATGTAGCTTAGCTTGAAGGTCCTGTGTTTAATCTCCATCAGATCAGAGGCTTTACAGATAGACACTGACAGGAATAGACATTTACCCGAGGCAGGGCTTTTGCTTACTTAAGAGATTGATGTAAATGGTCAAAACCACACAATGAATCAAACAGAAGAAAATGTACCAATTTTGAGCACCATGCTATACTTCCTCAGGCCAAAAAAGAATAATTTATATATGACAGAGTCCAACAATGTGCAAAGGAGTCCAAACCAAACAGATTTACTGAAGCTAGGAGATAGAGAAAGTTAGGCAGATAGAGCACAGGTTCTGAATAGCTAAACTGAAGTAAACTAAGTCAGGGCTTGAATTAGTTAACATATCAAAAGGCCAGAAGAATTAACATAAACAAAATGACTACCATGGTATAAATAAACTGCAAGAGACAAAGAACAGGTCCCTACACAATTGGGCAAAGCCCTGGATAAAGTAAAATGCAAACAACTTTCAGGACTTCAAAGGCCTACCTGCAACCAGGAACATTTTTACTTTCTGTCACATTCACTCATATAAAAAACTGTATAAAAAGCCAACAGATATGGAACCTTTGCCCAACAAGTGGACAGTTTTCCATTTATTCTGTTAAACAAACACTTGGTCATTTCCCACTGTTTTTGTGCGCTATTTTGTGGGCTTCAAATTTAATTACCCCAAAATGAAGACTCAGATCACAGCACAGGAGAGAGCTGGATACATTACCATGCTGATTATTATCCTCAAAGTAGTGGTTTGAAGGAGAACTGGTGTAGGACAGTGATACATCCACTGAAAGAAGGGCTACCTTATGTGCCTTCATGAGTGTGTGCTCATGCTGAGGAAAGCCATGGCAGAGTCCCTGCTAGACAGGTTCCTTCACCTCACTTGAGGACAGGGAAGAGGCTCTGGGGGAGAATGCTGATACAGATGAACAAACGTTCCCCACATCATCTCAACTTTCTTTCCCAACTGACACAGAAGTCCTGGAACCAGAAGTACAACTCCAAATGATAGAGGCAGAGATGATCCTGAAATAAACTCTGAAACTCTTCAAATCTTATGCCAAAATTCCCAAGGTCTTGGGGGATGGGTTGTCTTTGCACACCATCTGGCAAAATGACAGTGAATGCAAGTATACTGCCTAGCAGTCGAGATAGCCCCCCCATTTCTACACTTAAGTAAACTTTCCTTGTATGAATGAGAATGGGATGAGGGGTCAGCACTTGTAGATTCATTTTGATGCCAGCAATTTGGATGAACTTGATTTTTTTCATTATTAACTTTATTGAAAATCAGTAATAATATAGAAAAATAAAAATTGTAGACAAATATTGAAATGTGGAAGATATAACATGTAGACAGAGTGAATTTTAGAAAAATATTTCTGAAATGAATACATGAGATTAATAATAGATTGCCCATTGTAAAAAAATTATCTACAAACAAATGAATATAACCATAAAAATTGCCTAAAATAAACATGAATAAAAGAGTTTACAGATCAGTCATATAATAGTTCTCTGTGCAAAAATCAAGAAACTTATATTTATATAAGTAGAATTCTCAAAGTAGAAGGGGGTAGGCAATAAATATTTAAAGATTTAAAATTTCTGAATTTAGTTAAAATTATAGCACCACATTTCCAAGAAAAATGAACCTTTTGCACAAGAAATTTGAATAAAATCATACCAAGATATACAAAACTGAAATATTAAAAAACTAATTGTAAAG